AATTTTTTATTCAGATAAAATAAAAAGGTTTATACAGATTTAAAAGTACTATATAGATTCTACTTTTCCACTTTATATTTTTAACATGCCACTATATAAAAAAGGTACTTTTAGGAAATATAAACACTGGTAAACTAAAATTTACAAACTTAGTATAGTGAGTATAGTCAGAAGGGAAAACAAAATATTGTACAGGGTGTCTGTTTGTAAATATTTACCATCTATACCTATACACTGAAAACAATTCCCATTTGCATGCTAATGTCCTCTTTTCTATAAAATATTTGACACTAAAATGTGGTAAGAGGTGATCATTTTCTGTGATGTAATTATATTAAATTAGCACTTCAGTTAATAATTACTGAAAATTGCAATAAAGCCCAATTTATAGGAAAGCTTTGTTCATAAAAAAAAACCTCAAACGCTAAATAACAAAAGGGGGAGATTATTTTAGATAAGTACTTACTGGAAGTTGATTGGTTAGAAACCCTATTTTAGTCTCAAGGTCGTGCTGAGTATTTTCAGTGGCTTAAGCGTGCACAGTACAAAGTCGCAGTAACAGCCATGCAGCTCTAGATTAACAAGCTAATCACACCTGGTCCCACTGCTTTCTCTAAGTGCAACAAAGATGAAGCTTACTCACAGCACTGGGGCTGCAATCACATACATAAAATCCTGCAAATTCGTGTTTGTGATTTGGTGTGTGTGTGTGTGGGGGGATCCTTCTTTTTATTTGTTCATACAGGGAAAAAATGAAGTGATAAGCCCATTTATCCTGTCTGCTTATTTCTGTAATGTTTGAATGAAGAATACAGGCTGAGATTTAACAAAAACAATTTTAGTTTTGTCATAATGATACTGGGGATGTTACCAAGGGTTCTGAGGAAGGACAGAGATATCATCATTCCATGATACTCCAGTGAATGCAAATCCCATTGTTCAAAGATTCTTGGAAGAAATCAGAGACACAATTTATTATGGGCAGTAAAAAAATTCTTTTCATTGATAAGTTTTCCCTAAACTTTTTTCTTCCCCACCGTGCCCCAATTCATAGAAGCAATGTGAAATATCCTGCACCTCTGCATACATATTCAGATGAAGAAGGAAAACTGAGAGGATTAGACACAAGCTGGGCTTTAACTCCCTTATCTATAAAAAGGAGAGTCTCAATCAAGCAGGGTAGTGATCCTGAGACCTCTACTTACAACTGCTATCTTTTCAACACTTACTAATGGCAGCACTCAGCAACAGTGTAGAAAAAGTACCTGCCACTACAAATGTGACCATATGACTGGGCACTAGGGTAACAAAGAACACCGAGGCAATGCACTCCATCATTCGAGCAAATTTTAAAAATTAACCTCCATTCTTAGGGTGCTCATACTGAAGAAACAGAACAGGTCTATGTCATGTAAACACTGGCCTTAATCTCCTGCCCGACTTTGTAATGAACCTGACTTTCAAACTCGAACTAATGACTTTAAGAAATCCCTGAAACTTTCAAGCCATTTTGTTTAAGTGATTCTATAACATAAGTCACAATAGGAAGAAAGATTAGATAGATGCCATCAAATTACCAGAAAAACTTGCTCTGTTTTACTTTATTTAATGTGACTCGTAAAGAAAACCATGCACAAATATCTGTCTTTAATTTCTCTAGTGTAAAGGGGGTATATACGTGTCTGGCAGAAAGAAACAGTTAAAGTAGCCTGGGTACATTTTCAGAACAGAGGGAAGGGAAGAAATCAGATGCACACAATGAGCCTTCAAAGCCACTCCAGCAGTAGAGATAAATAATTTAATAAAATCAACTTCATATTCTTTTAAGGTCTCCGGAGAAATAAGCACATATTAAAATCAAACTTTAAGTTCATGAACAGTTGTGACTAAACTAGCTGCTGGCAGCTACTGAAAACACGGAGGACAGTGTGCATCTGAACAGTGTAACTGCTCAGATCCCTTATGAGCTTCCAGAGGGTGGCCACTGGCGAAGTCAGTTTAAATAGTCATTTAAAAACAAAACAAACCAGAAAGCTTGGGTTCCTCCACTTCTGGACACAATGCAGTTTCTCTTGACCTCCTTGTAGGAGACTGTCTGTGCATGCACCGCTCTGCACAGGCCATGGACATGCACCCCCACCGGGACAATCACTCCAGAAGCTACGCTTCAGAAACAGCTGTCTTGTCATTATTATTTGGGATGTTCCATTGTGTTGAAGTTCACAACATTTGTTTTTTGTTCACAAATATGGCTACATGTTATGATAACAGGCTTGTGTCTTAGTTGGATTTGTTTTCCTTAACTGGAATATTTTAAATCCAAGCTGCCTTGTTTAAATCTTAAACACCATTCCAATGCAAGCATCTCAAGTGGTTACATCATGAGATTCTTGGGTATTTCTTTTTCCTCCAATTAGGTCACTTTTCTTCAATTATCATTCTATTATTAGCTCATGTCAAGGATGCCTACATGCATACCACTGAAAACAATTCACCATTTATGTCTTAAAACACAAGGCACACACAAGCTTTTCTTCTGATACTCGGTAAGACCAGATCTAAAAAATCGACTGGCATCAATCCAGCTTTTATACAGACTTTTCATATAATAAAACATATTTTATATCACTTGTGTATTATTATCATCAGTTCAGAAAATCCAGTAGGTCGAATGATTTTTTAAAAATTAAAATTACTATCAAGTAGTTGAATAATTTACAAAACATATCTAATGCCAAAACCTCGATCAAAGTCAGGTGAATTACACAAAAATACATCGTTAATTTTAATTCCTCTCCATGGACAATTCAATTAAAGGAAGCATGGAGGGAAGGATGCAGCCGTCAGTGCAGCTTCAGGGTTGTTGAGATTTCGGAAAGGTTTCAGCTACAGGCAGTTCATTTCCCAGGTTGAGGGTAGCAAACGATCTGGGTAGCAGCAGCTAGAAAGACAATCCAGTGTTATTCTAAGCCACCGGGTCAACCCACAGCGACAATAGCCGCCTGGAGTCCAGTTTTATGTAAATCACTGTCAGCACCGGGCGTGGTAGGTGCTTTAGGACGCCCGGCGGGCCTAGCGTTCTAGAAACACGCAGCCTCACTACCCCGCAACACTCCAGGACTAACGACTTTCGTGGTTCTCTTGCTCCTAGTGAAAAATCGTTAGGGAAGGGCCTCGGTTGCATCAATTAGTTTGCACAAAGTGCTTCGGTGTTTAGCTTCGCTTTAACCCAATTAAGCCGCACAGCGAGCCCAGAAAGATGCGCCACCTGCGCCAGGCTGCAATCGGAGGCCACGGTATCCCGAGTCCCTCTGTCGGACACAGGGAACTACCAGGGCCTCCGCATTGGAGCTGCTTCGAGCTCCATAGCCAGGGTGAGGAACCCGGCGCACGATGTTCCGGGAAGGCCAGGGTCAAGTATCCCTGGGTTGCGCTGAGGCCAGAGTACAGGTCACACTAGGCAGGGGACACTTGAGGGCGGGGAGACGGCGGGAACAGAGTGGAACAAGGGTACCGAGCCTGGTTTACAGCAGTGGAGGAGAGTGAGGACGGACAGACACCCAGAAAGCTTTAAAAACAGTCCGAGAACAGATGGACCAAGAGAGAGAGCTGGAGAGGACGCAAGGGCCGATCGGCGGGGAGAGGTTGCCTGCGCACCCCACCCTGATGACCCGCGCGTCCCCAGCAGCCTCTCCTGGCCTCTCTCTCCTTCGGTTTGGCGCTCTGGGTTGCCTCCTCCAGCGCCTCTTCAGCTGCCAAAAGGTAGCAGTGCGTTCACCCGCGATGCCTGCAGACTGGGGAGGGGCTTTCAGAGTCCCTACCACACTCCCAAGGGAACAGACGGTCTTGGGGAATGGAGTGAGTAGAAGGCCATCGTAAGCCCCAAATGTTACCTACTACTTTAATCTAAATCGGAATCTACCGCTCTTCCGTAACGAGAACCTAAATCAGAGGCTATGCTTAAAAGTTGTGAGTCCTCAAAAGGAGCCCATCAGCAGGCTTACACAGGTGCCTTACACTGCGAGTCCTCTTACGTGAAACAAACAGACCTCTGCACTAAAGGCAGGCAACGGAAAACTAGTCCGCAAGCTCTAACTACTCTTTCTTTAGTTCACGTACACTGAGGACTCTTCTGGTGATGGCAGTGGGGAGAAGGGGCGCCCTACAAAACCTCCTTAGGGTTCCAAAATGTAGAAAGGTTCATTTCTTTGAAAATTGCCAGGATGAAATTTAAATTAAAACAAATAAACCAACAAACCCAAACCTGAGTGCTTAAGAAATTAATTTTGGAAGCCGTTGGCCATCTTCCCATAATCAAATTATGAAATCCCAAAAGATTAGGACCAACCTACTGTTGGTCACCACTAAAGACACCTGAGATGGGAGATCTGTCTTCAAGCCCGCATGAACAAACAAGGCTGCACAGTCACACCCTCAAGTTCTCAGTGGTAAGCCCACCTCTGAGAATCTTCTGGCTCATCTAAATCCCAGAGATCTTGTGGAAAGTATTCCCAAAGCCTTCACTGCTGTTTGTTATTTTAGCGCTGGCCAGTCTAGCTACAGACAGGGAGAACGGTAGACAGGTGAACTTGTTTTAATCACCCCTCTTTTAACTGGGTAGACATTATCTGCCCCACTCAGCAGTCATTTTCAGATTCCTCTCAGCGAATGAAAGTGGGGGGAAACCTTGGTAAAAAGAGAACAGGTTCTGACTAAGGTTTTGAAAAGTGTTCTGACTGGGAACACCCAACATGGAGAGAAACGGGAGGACTCCTCCATGTGAAGCCAGCAGTCTGTTAGACGCAAACTTGTAGCTTGCATTAAAAAGACCCCAAGGATTAACGGGCGTTAATTTCCTTCCTCTAAGTGCAAGTTGGTGACTTTGTTCTAGAAAGCCCCTTTGACTTCACTAATTGGTGGGTGACCATTAGTACACCTGGATAGCTCATCAGGGGTGAACAGTCAAGCAGGTTTTACAGCACAGACAGCCACTTCTCTTGGCCAAATCTTTTCCAAGTGTCAATATGCTTCAAGTTAGACCGAAGCCAGATTTCCTTTTGCTTCCCAACCTGTCTAGGTGGCCTGGTGGTTTTCTGCCAGCAGCAGCGTCCTACCTTTGGTTTTCTGTGCCTCTATCCACGAGGGGGGATTAATTAGCCAGGCTGAAGCTGGGGGAGGCTGTCGTGACGAGCCCAGTGGCGATTGGCCGCCCGCCTGCCTGGCCCTGCCTTTATAATTTCCACACGAGTGCATCTGGGCTTTTACACAAACCAACAGCAGCTTCTTCTGACAGACACACACTCACCCCGACATACACTCGGCACACTTTTCTTCCGTCTGATTAACAGTCCTGCACACACCATGATTACGGGAAAACGTAAATAAATACGCAAAGGGGTGACTATTTTGACTACTGGAAGAGCTTTGCTGGGATTCAGAGCAACTTTTGTTTTTATTATTGAGAAGGTGCTCTCTCCACGCGTCTCTCTCAGACACGGATTCTTTAGCGGAGGAGAAAGTCGGAGAGTGCAGCCTTTCACTTTAAGACCGGCTAGGCTCGCGGATAAAAGGCCAGCAGGGCCGGGCGGCCTCCACTGCAGCCCGTCCGAGAGGCTCGGTGCCTTTTGCGCGTGGCCCCCTTTCACCTCCGAAGTTGGCTCCAGCGCTAGCAGCCGCATTGGATCCCACAGCTTATTGTGAGACTCCGGTGTACAATCCGGATCTCTGCCCCAACATGATCGCGGCCCAGGCCAAGCTGGTCTACCACCTAAATAAGTACTACAACGAGAAATGCCAGGCCAGGAAAGCTGCCATCGCCAAAACCATCCGGGAAGTCTGCAAAGTGGTATCCGACGTCCTGAAGGAGGTGGAGGTGCAGGAGCCGCGCTTCATCAGCTCGCTCAACGAGATGGACAACCGCTACGAGGGCCTGGAGGTCATCTCTCCCACCGAGTTCGAGGTGGTGCTCTATCTGAACCAGATGGGGGTGTTTAACTTCGTGGACGACGGCTCGCTGCCCGGCTGCGCGGTGCTGAAGCTGAGCGACGGTCGCAAGAGGAGCATGTCCCTCTGGGTAGAATTCATCACCGCCTCTGGCTACCTCTCGGCACGCAAAATCCGCTCCAGGTTTCAGACGCTGGTGGCTCAGGCGGTGGACAAGTGTAGCTACAGGGATGTAGTAAAGATGGTGGCTGACACGAGCGAAGTGAAACTGAGAATCCGCGATAGGTACGTGGTGCAGATCACCCCGGCCTTTAAATGCACCGGGATCTGGCCGCGGAGTGCTGCCCACTGGCCGCTTCCCCACATCCCCTGGCCGGGACCCAACCGGGTGGCAGAGGTCAAGGCCGAAGGGTTCAATCTGTTGTCCAAGGAGTGCCACTCCCTGGCCGGCAAGCAGAGCTCAGCGGAGAGCGACGCTTGGGTGTTGCAGTTTGCAGAGGCTGAGAACAGACTGCAAATGGGGGGCTGCAGGAAGAAATGTCTCTCCATCCTGAAAACCCTACGCGACCGCCATCTGGAGTTGCCGGGACAGCCCCTCAACAACTACCACATGAAGACGTTGGTGTCCTACGAGTGTGAGAAGCATCCCCGGGAGTCGGACTGGGACGAATCCTGCCTGGGCGACCGGCTGAACGGAATTCTGCTGCAGCTCATCTCCTGCCTGCAGTGCCGCCGGTGTCCCCACTACTTCTTACCAAACTTAGATCTGTTTCAAGGCAAACCGCACTCGGCTCTGGAGAATGCCGCCAAACAAACGTGGCGGCTGGCAAGAGAGATCCTGACCAACCCAAAAAGTTTGGAAAAACTCTAGAGGATGATCTAATCCAGGGCCGACAAGATCTCTCTTCTCAGAGTCCCGGCGAAATGAAAACTTCCTGGTTGATCCCTATTTAGTATTTCCTGAGGCAGTGCAGAAGATCTCTTCCTTTAACAGGAGCTGCAGCACAACATGAACGCATGTCTCACACTCCCCTGGAGGAGACGGAAACGGAGTAGGGAACCCAGGGGGAAACCTACACCACACACATCTTTATGCAGGCATCTCCCACCTCCCCTCAAGAGTGCACAAAACCCGACAACAGCCGGCAACAATGGAAGACCGCGGCGGACTGGGTGGAAGGATTACAGCAATCCCGGGACTTAGGCGCTTCTGCCTGCCAGTAAACCCGACCTGGATGTGCCACCGGGAGGATCCGAAGGAGCCTGTAATGTATATTTTGATTTGTAACAAAAATTGTGATCTCATGTTGTCTTTCAAAGTGTGGATGTTGGTGTTTTGTGATTTGGTGAACAGAACTGAAATTGTCATTTGGAAACTTCCAGACACTTTCCACGAACAGAGATGCATTTAAAGGTAGATTTCTTCCTGGTACTTTACCTGTCTGTGAAGTGTCTGAACTTTAAAAAAAAAAGTTTACATTTTGTTTTAAATATATTGCTTGTTCTAACATTCCATAAGTATACTTGAAATGTTATTTAAATATATTCAAAGAAATTTGAATTCAGCTTATATAATAACGCTTGAATATCTGAATTATATATATTTGAAAATGCACTTGAAATACACTGGATAATTACTTTTGTGATTTAGATTTTAATTTCTGTTGCTGATTTTTATTTAATTAGAAGATAATAAATGAAGTAAAATACCAAATCATTGTGTCTCGTTTTAAATTGTTTTTGTTAAGAGGCAAAGCTTCCTTTTGAAAAATCAACTGGAGTATTTTAAACATTTTGACAAATTGGCTAATAAAATCACTAAAAATACACATTACAGGGGTTCTTTTTTAATAGCCATAGAAAATATCCATTTCCTCAGTTTCTAATTTACTGCATGGTTCTTTTCTACAACTGACACATTTATAATCTACTTTCCAGATCTTGCTTCTGCTTAATATTTCTGTAGCTTCTTGACAATATAAGGGGGAAAATCTATCATGGCAATGGAGATTACTGAGTTTAAAAGCAGAAAATTCTGAGGAAATTAACTTAAAGTCATAATAAAAACTTTGAATTTTGTAATGAAATCCAAGCGATAAGATGAAAATATCTTTTAAACAATATAGTTTATCAACCTATTTTGCACAGTAAGTGTTTAGAGTAAATTAGTCAGAAAGCCACATTCATTCTTACCACACAGGGACGCTAACGGAAAAACATAAAGGCAAGTTTCTACTTGCTTCCAAACAGCACGCTCACTCACCTTAGAGGCTGAAGTCAGGTCCTCTGCTGTTGTCTCACTCATCAACAAGTGCTGAGAGCCTGAGTCTAAGGCTCTGCATTAGTTAAGTCAGGTGGTGATAAACTGGAGAATTTCCTTTGCTCATTTACAAATGTTTTATTATGTGCCGTTTCTGCGTATAACTTTAACATAAATAATAAGGCTCAAGTCTGACTACCTATTTTAGAACAGCTTTTGAAGCGACTTAAAGGAAGATCTTTTCAAAACTATAGTGAAACATCCAGTAGAATAACCCTTTATCTCAACCCCTTACTCTCAGAAGAAATTCCCAAAACTACAGTAAAACATCCAGTAGAATACCCTATTATCTCAACTTCTTAACCTCAGAAGAAATTCACAAAACTTACATTGACATAAATAAGAAACTAGAGAAATGCATCTCAGAAGGGTGCTGGGCTGTAGGGTTTCTCTGATGGCCAGGGAGGCTAAATCCACAAGATAAGATTTAGCAAACATGTATGCCATTCCAATGCTCCAAATGTATACCTTCTGGAATGACATGTAAGCACTAGTGTATGCTGTGCATGTACATTTAAATCAAAGCTTATAAAGAATCTCCTTCCCGACCTTTTAAATCCATATGTAAAATCCATTTAATTCAGGAGATGAAAAATGGATGTAATAATGGAAATGAAATTATATGTAAATGGCTCCTGCCCCAGTTTCCTTATAACCTTTCAATAAATAATAATTCATATTGCAGTATATACTTTTGGAAATTAACTGTGATATTAACACAAAATTTCACAAGACCTGTCTTGGAACTTCGACACTGCTCCATGGATCCAGGAGCAACTGGCTTAAACACCAAATCTGCCCAAGCAAGGGCACACAAAGGCACAGAGGAAGCCTGCTCAAAGGCTGCTCAAATGCACACACTCTGCTATTTAAGCTTCAGATTCTGAAAGAAATCATGTGTTATTTCATTCATTTTATTTTCTATAAGAAAGATGAGAATATGTGTATCTCTCCAGTCATTTAAACCAAGCAAAAGTGAAAACCACATCCTGCCATCAAAGCCACCAATGCTGTGCAGTCACTATAACTCACTTTTGTGTCGATCTTCTTGAAGGCAGCATCATCCTCATCTACCTCGAAGTAGATTTCTGTTGTGGTGATGGACAGCGTTCCTTTGGCCACCACCACAGGAGCGATGAGCTGGGCAGGGGTGCTGAGAACCACAGGGCCTGCAAGACAGGGCAGTGAGTCAGGCTGGGCCTCTCTGGTACTCCCAAACTCCCTTCCAGAGGGTATGAGGGATTCTGATTTTCAAGATGTACTAGGAAAAATGCTGCCTATGTTATGCAAGGTCTTTTCATGTTAGGTAAGGTCTGTTTAGTACCTTAAAACGAGACTAGAGAAATACTCTAAAAACTGAAGAGTTCAGGGTGGTGAGAGACTCATAACACGCAAGTCTGCATCCTCTGCTTAGAAATCACATGGCTAGTGAGGCATGGCCTTTATCAGACTTACACATGCAGAGCGGAAGGATGCTTCTGTGCCCTGCTTCTCCAAGGACCATCACTGGCTCTCCAAGACACCCTAGGCAGCGGGTAATGTCTCCAAAGGAGAGGTGATAGAAGCCAAAGGGGAAAGTGGCTAACTACAAATCCCAAGGGCTAGGAAGGATTGTTTTACTTTTGGCGTCCTAAAGTGGGATCCGTTCACTGGTGGGACTACAAAGCTACTGGGATCCTTACCAAGGAGATAACGAAAACCTTGGCCATCATTTTCTCACCAGAGCACACCAAAGATGAAAATGTGAGGAAAACTCTAACAAAACTCTTCTTGGAAGAGAGTATGGAAAGTGCAATTTCTCAGTCTTTGGACCCAACAGATTTCTGGAAAGTGTTCGAACCAGAGTGAAGAGCTCACTTGAATTTCCTCCATTAGAACACTGATTCGAGGGGGGTGGGATTACTTGAAATCCCTCTTCTGGATATTGATCTAAACACACGACAAAGAACTCAGAAATAATTTGGGCTTTGTTAATGCCTTTTAGGTTCTAGGGAGAAGCAGCAGAAAGGCGACCAGGGGGAGTCTTGCACGCGCACCCCGCAGATAGACCCCGGCCTGAGCCGGGAAAGCTCGTGGAGCCAGCGGCCTCGGAGTTCCGCTATTTCGGAGGGGAGACCCGGAGGCCCGGGCCGTCTTTGACAGGGCTCACGGAGTCTGGCCCGCCTGCGTACACTAAGCGGTCCGAATGCCTTGCAGACTAGCAAAACGGCCTCGGGCTCCGGGTGCGGCCAGTGGAGTTGGGTCCTCAGCGGCTTGTGGGAGGCTGCTTTTTTTTTTTTTTTCCAAGGGCGAGGCGGCCGGTCTGGAGCGCTACTTTAAAGGCTCATCAATCTTAATCTAGGTTGCTCAAGTAATTATGCCCGAATCTCTTGTACGATTACAAGTGGATTTGGGTTTCTATTCCCCAGGCCCTCCTTTGTGTTTATTGGAGGGTCCGTGCTAGCCGGCGCCTCCAGCCCCCGGGGCCCTTCTCGTATCCCCCCCGCGCCCGCCCGCGGGTTCGAACCGCTCCCTTAACCCTTGCGCCACCGCAGCGCTGCAACGAGCGCGGGTTTCCTTGTTCCCTCTCAGAAAGGTTAGATGTATTCACATCTGAAACAAAGTGTCTTAAACAACTTGGCTTGGCAAAAGACAAACACACCACCACCACCAAAACAACCTAGGAAAGCTCATTCTAAACGCCGACGAGCACGCTTTAGGTTTTTAGAAGTCTGGCATTTGGATGGAGAGCTGCTCCCTTCTCCTAAAAAGTAATTTAATATATCCAAACAAATAAATTGGGAAAATTGAAAAAATAAAAAAGATCAGGAGAGGAATTAACCAAACTATACTCTCTGGTTTACTGAAACACAACACGAATTTTAGGTACACAGCTCGGGAGCTTTTAGCTGTGAACACATTTCTAAAACGGGGTTGCGCTTCCTTTTGATTCTACTCTAATCTCTTTCTATTGAGTTGCGATTTTCTGGGAGTTTATTAAAAAAAGGTTTTAAGAAAGACACATCATGAAACACTCAACCTTAGAAGGATGCTCCCCCAACCCCCCGCAAATCTCCAATTACAACTCCCAATTCCGTAGATTGTTGGAGGAGCTCAGGGCCTTTTTGTTGTTGCCTCCGGGGAGCAAAGCAGCCAGAGAGCGCACAGTTAATCCACTGCAGCAATAGAGAAAGGGGATTAGCTTTAATCCCCTTGGGGAGCCTCTGGATTTTAGGGATCCTATATTAAAATGTTTACATAAAGTACAATCACAAAGCCAGCATGTTTTCCATACGGTACCAAGTGATTCAGAAACCTGGCATCTTTTTCCAGAGTGTTTTGAAGGGCAGTATCCCTGGTGCCTGGAGACACTCATCTATGGGGGTGGGGAGTGGGGTGGGTATGGGTGTTCACTTATAGCCCCTCCCCCACCCCCATCTCGGCACTACGGGTTTAACCTCCAGAACTTTGCTTGATATAGTAAATCAGGAAATGACTGCAAATACATTCATTCCAATAGCTACCCTAATAATGAAAGAATAAATTACAATAATGTCCTCAGCACACACAGAACAGTAATATTACAGAATGTAAAAAACCTATTCCTAATATATTGGCACATATGATAATTTAAAACTCTACCATATATAATAATAATTAAAAAGCAAAAAAATAAAAAAGCAAATGTCATTTACTTCTTACATTGGCTATGGGCCCATGACTGCTTTTAAAGGAACGCTACGGGTGCTACTTGCCATTATTCTAGAACCAGTGCCACCAGGCATCGGAAAGCAGCCAATAAGGCCACACTCCTTCCCAGACCACGGTAAAGCTCACTGTGTGCACAGACAGGGCTTCTCTGTGTAACAGCCCTAGGTGCCCTGGAACTTGTTTTGTAGATCCTCCTGCTTCTACCTCCCGTGGACAGGGACTAAAAGCATGCACCGCTACGCACAGCCACTGAATGTATTTTAAAAGAATGCTAAATATTTGTGGGTTTGGATTGTGTTGCTGAAAAATCAAAAGTCCAAGTCTAGAAATCAATAAAAACACATTAGCATCGTAATAGAACATCGCAATTTGCAACTCTTTCCCATCTCCACTTAGGTACAGCCCACGATTCACAGAGACCGGCCTCTAGATCTCCCAAGGGCGTGCCTGCAACAGAACCCCGGGCTGAGGCTCACTGTAAGGGCTGAGGCTCACTGGAACGGAGGAGGAGAGGCAGCTCTGGGGGCCTGGGTGGCGAAGGACTAACTGTAGGGTCAGGACCTTGGTAACCGGATTTGCAGAATTTCATGACTCAAGAAGGGAGACTGCTGTGCCACAGAATCTGCTGGAAATATGCTATTGGGCACTGGTAACTAACAACTGCTTCAAAAGCAGCTAAGGCTGTAAGGAAACATCAGTTACCCACTTCAGCCAGGAGAGGGTGTGTTCAGTGTTTCATGACCTTGCTTTTGTCTGTGCTTAGATCAAATCATTACGTTGTCTAGTGTGTCATCACAGACAATGGTGTTCTGTGCCGCTTATGTTCATCAAGAGCACCCTGGCTTAGCTGTGACCTCCAGACCAGCTCTCAGAAACACCAAGGCCAGTTCCCACAGATCACAAGTGCTTTTCTTTGCTCTGATGCAGGATTTAATCATGGTTTAGGAGGGTCAACAGAGTCCTAGCTATCGAAAGCCAAGTATGGCAACTACATTTGCAGACAGCACTAAACTTCATTTACCAGTTCTAACAGTACAAAGAATATGAAGTAAAATCAAGATGAAGTTCAGTAACTGGCATTGTTAGACTTAGTAGATAAGACATGTGGCTGTCAATTACCTCATTTAGGGCATGTACAATTGCACTGCACATTGGAATCAGCTGATCTCTCTTTTTCTTTTCTCTTTCTTTCTTTCTTTCTTTCTTTCTTTTTTTTCAGACAGGGTTTTTCTGTGTAGCCCTGGCTACCCTGGAACTCATTATGGTAGATCAGGCTGGCCTATAACTCAAGAGATATGCCTGGCTGTGCCTCCTGGGTGCTGGGATGAAAGGTCTGGGACACCAATGCTGAGCTAATAGTTCTTACACTTAGCTAATTTTAAAGCTGTTGTATTTAGGGTGGTTCAAAAAGTTAATACTAAATACGAACAGGGAGTATTATTTAGTTGAGTCTGTAAGAACGTGACAAAATTTCTGAGGAAATAAAAGTGTGGATAACAGAATGTGGCCAAAACACTGACCACAGTTGCTGCTTTATGGAATCTTTATTTTTAAGCATGTTGCTAGGAAAACTAGGGGAAAATCTAAGAAAAAAGATTAAGGGGCTTTAATTTCAAAGCACATTTCAGAAGCACATGGGGAAGTCAGGACTTTGTTTTGAAATCCTAGGAAGTCTTTATGCAGTAAGTCATAGAGGTGAGG